CATCAACTACACCTGTTGGGGCAACCTTGCTGTTTCCTCTTCCTTCTCCCTCTTGATGTGATGTCTCAAGGCTCAGGGTTGTAATCCTGCTTTCCTACCCGATGTCTTTGCTGCTGCTAACATCCTGCCCTATACCTCTTGTTCTCCAGCCATGTCTCTTCTTCCCATTCTGCTTTGGCAGCCTCTGTCGTTTTGACCTGTTGCCTGGCGTTGATGGCCTTCGCCAACACCTACCACAGCTGTTTTCTTCTGTCTGTTCAAAAGTGCCACCCCTTTTATATTTTCATCTTCATTGCCTGAATTCACTCTCTGTCACCCTTTGCCATCCTTACTAACCAGGCATGCTCATGGAAAATGGGATGAACACCTTTCATGTGGGATACAGGAAACATTGTTCAGTGGGGTAAGGGAAGTCACAAAAAGCATCTGTCAAAAAAAGCTGAAGTTATCTACAATGGGAAAAGTAGAGAAGGATATAAACTACATGTTGCATGTAGAAAGACAGTAAGTCAGGTCAAGCAAAGCTTCAAGGAGCAACAAAAGGAACCAAAACTGACATTAGGTCTTTCTTGAAACGTATCAGGAACCTGTCAGATGTTCTCAAGGGCAAATTGGTGATCAGGCTGTGAGATGAGCGCACAGGGGAGATAAGGCCGTTGCAGAAATCTCTGCATCTGTGTTACGTGTTGAGTGACGAGATCGTCGTGGCAGAACCCATTCTTCAGCAGGGTGGGGTTCGCCAATGAACATGTCTGAAATTGAAGTGGCTGTGGAAAAGGCTGTTCAACACACTGGCAAAGCAAACAGTAACAGCTTGCTGGGAGCAATGGCATTTGTCCAGGAGTCTTAAAGGAACTCAAGAATAAAATAGCTGAACTGCTCCCAGCAGCGTGGGACCCACTCTCACTGCCACCGTGGTACCTGAGGAGGGGAGAATGGTGAATGTGATGCCAATTTTTAGAGGCTTTACTTGGGCTCAAGGGGAAAGTGGACAGGTTCATGGAAAAGAAATCTACAGAGGGTGACTAAACCGCAGAAACCACATCTAGGCAGAAAGTCCCTGACCTGAAAGTGTTTGAAGACTGGAAGAGTATTAATGAGAAGTATGATCTTGAGATGAACATAGAATCATAGAATGGTTTGGGTTGGAAGGGACCTCAAAGATCATCCAGTTCCAACCCCCCTGCCATGGGCAGGGACACCCTCCACTACACCAGGTTGCCCAAAGCCCCATCCAACCTGGCCTGGAACACTTTCAGGGATGGGGCAGCCACAACTTCTCCAGTGGTGTGTAGGTAGTAGCTGCATGGCTGAAGAGGGCCTGCACGCCAACCTTCAGTGTTGAGGGTGGCCTCTCGTGTGCTGTGTCGGTCATGTTCCAGAAAAGGGCTTTGAACGAGGCGGTACCCGCGCTACAGAAGCAATGTCCACGTTTGCTTTGGAAGCGCTGCAGGACGCGCGATTATGATACAATGTGAGGTTGAAGCAAACACTTCAGAAGTATTTAAATACTTTACTTCTAGTTAACGCACGTTCTCTTCGAGGCACGTACCAGCTGAGCTTTGGTTATGTTCACAAAGTATGCCTAAATCAATGTAGTTACACTGCTGGATCTGTTTCGACAGCTGAAATTAATTGAGCAGAGGCATAATCAAACACGGGGAACCTGTGTGGAAAAGGAAATCTTGAGCTTGGCTTCATTGTTTGCAAAAGGACGACTCTTTCGGTGCCACGTTAGAAGTTTTGTCTGGTCCATGTTCACAATACAACCCGTAGGTAATCTTGTGTTGACTGAAGCGCAATGGACTTAATCTTACATTTTGCAGGTTGACAAAATCCATATCAAATTCCGTGTCTGACATGGAATAATTCTCCTGAAGAACTAGTTTAAAACACCTACATTTAATATTTATTTGCACTGACATGGTGTGCCTTCTAAGGGGCTGGCCTGCCCAGCAGCTAATCAGATGGTGACCAGATTCCTGCTTCTCAATTCACGTGGCCAGGCGGTGATGCCACGTGGCACTTGGCCATGGCACATTTGACCTTGGAAGGCGGCATGGCTGTCTCCCAGAGACACAGAACATATAATACTATTTATCCATGTCTTTCTAATGCAACCAAGTTTAGCTTTGATGACCTTTCAGTCTCTTCGTGGCGTTTTCTGTAATACGTGTTTCATATTTAAGCGATGAGGAACATTGCTGTTCAACACCAGGGCACTTTTTTTATCAGGAAGTTATTACTTTTTCTGCTTCAGGATATATGCTTTACTTGGTTTTGTGGTTTTTAATTCAGCCTGAGGCCATCACGGACACAGTAATTGTGGACTGCTCATAGCAACTCTAGTGGGGAGCATCAGAGAGCAGGTAGTCAAATAAAATTTAGTGCCATGGTATATTTCTCCTTATGAGGAATATGGCCACTCCTAATGCATTTCTTCCATCTCTCTGTCATTTTTCTTTCCTTTTTGTTGGTTTGTGGGCCAAAAAGGCAGACAAACCATGAGCTCTCGCTTCATGTGTAGCACAGGCCTTGGAATTTTACCCAGCATCTCTTTTAACTGATGCCGTTAACTTTATTTTTTTCAGTGATTATTAAAGGACAGCTTGAAAAAAGTAACGTGGCCTTTATTTGAAAGACCTTGAGAGACAGTCTACCATTTTTACTGGCAGATGGCTGGACAATCACCCTCATCGTTGAGTATATTATGTCTTATCCTACTCTGAACATGCCTAAATATAACTTGCAGCTGTTGGTTCTCACTGTGCCTTTCTCCGCCGCTTACGGTGCCACCAGTACTCTCTATTTTCTGGGGTGCGACTGAGATCCTGGTTTAGTAAGACCAGAGTAGTGCCTCAAAGTGCCCCCTGTAAGACGTTTTCTGACCTTCCTAACTGGTCCTGTCATTTTGGTCTGGAGAACCTCCAGGCTTTCAACATAATAAAGATCCCCGTGAGCGCCCGCACTGCCGACGGGCGTTGCAGCTTCAGGCTTTGCTGGGCTTCCAACTCGGCGTTGTTGGTCACAGGTGACAGAAACTTCTCCAGTGGTCACCGATGAGGTTCTTGCTCTTGAAGGCAGCTTGTCCTTCCTCCCTGGCCGCACAGGATCCAGCTGTCACAAACCCACCCATCGTCTGGGGGTGTCTTTGAATCCAGCAGGCAGTACAAAAAGCTTCCGTGAGTCCTGCTCCAGAGTAGCAGCCTCTGGGAGTGAGTGGGCTGGTGTTGACACCAAGGGTCCCTTGGAGCTCCCCTTCCAAGTCCCAAGTGGCTTTCCTCTCTGCACTGGGCTCAGCCTGCCTGTTCACTGGCCGTGGAGCCATGCAGTGGGCTTGACTCCACAGAGCAGTGTGGGAGGTGCACAGACAGAAGACAACCGTTGGAACTGAAAATACCTATTCATCGGTAACGCATCAAAAACGAAGAGGAAATGACACAACCAAAAACTGCTTCCAGTTCTGCCCATGGCCACTCTTCATAGAATCACAGAATGGTTTGAGTCGGAAGGGACCTCAAAGATACCCCATGAGCAGGGACACTTGCCACTAGATAAGGTGCTCAAAGCCTCATCCAGCCTGGCCTTGAACAATTCCAAGGATGGGGCATCCTACGTTTTTGAAGCTGTTGTTAGCTAACTTGTAACAACATCACGCTCTCTTACCCAGGATTATTACTGTGGAACCATCTAACAGTCCTCAGTGTCACCTCGCTTTTCTTGTGTGAACACTGATGGAACGAATCTTCCGAAATCCTGGGACTTCTCTAGTATTCCAGGAGTTTTAAATGCTCAACTCCATTGGGCCGGGTGCCTCCTCAGCCAAATCTTTTACGATTCTGAAATGCAAATTATCTTGGCTACTCATCTGAAAATACTTATGCTTAATAGATGCTGCTAAAAACCTCCCTTAGTTCACAAATTTTTTTACCACTCTCATGTAGTCCGAACACGCGATTCTGTTTATTTCTGTATACAAACAACTATCTTCCCTGTATCAAAAAGCCTCCATTAAAAATATTTCCTATCAAGTTTTACCTATATCTGCCTGGTAAGAGCCTAGGCTGTTGCTAGCACGTCTTGGTTTCCAACACATCTTGAAAAAACTCCTTCCAAGTGCCGTTAGCACTTGCAGCAGTCCAGTTTTTCCAGATTATTTTGAAGACTCCTTATCACCTTGTATGCTTCATGAATTCTCACTTTTATTGTGTGCTGTATACCTCTTTTCCAACCACGTTTTCCTTCTGCTTTTTTTTCCTCCGTTGGTTACGTACAAGATTTCTAAGCGTTACCTTCAAATTCCTTGCGAGGCAGGAGAGGCTTTTGATCATGTCTCTTTTTCACAGCTGCAGAACCACAGATCTTCTCCACCTTGTAAACTTCCATTAAAAATTTCATTGTAGCTTTCTCCTGGAGAGTCATGTTTTTCTGGTTGCTTGGTTTGTGATCAGTTTAACCCATCACTTCCTCTGTTTGAGGATTTACCATTTAGAAGTACCAATCCAACCAAAGGTACTTACATACATCTACGCACCTGTGTAAATGTTGTGTACCCACTTACAACGTGTACACACGTGCAGATATACAGTCATACCAACACTCCTCTATTTACAGTTTAATTTTCCCTTACCTGTGTAAATGTTGTGTACCCACTTACAGCGTGTACACACGTGCAGATATACAGTCATACAAACACTCCTCTATTTACAGTTTAATTTTCCCTGAAACTAGGGAAATGACATTTCTAAAAACAGGCGTCTTGCCGGTAACGCAGCACCCCAGCAAAGAGCTGAGGCTATCGTTGTCCTCCCAAAATGATGACATGTTTTACTCTGAGTCCACCTCTGATGGGTCACTCAGCTCCTCCACCAGAGGCAGCCCTACCCCTCAAATACCGACCTACAGCTCTGTTAGTGTTTGGACAGGGCTGGCTCCGCTCAGCAGGATGTGTCAAGAGACGGGATGCAAAGGGGTGCAGGTGGGTGACACAAGGGTTCCTTCTATTCTGAAGCCCTTAGAAGTTGCTCAGACTTTGGTTTAGCTGAAATGGAGAGAGAAAAAAAAAAAGAAGTAATACTCAGGAAGACCAAAATGCTGCAAAACATCTCATTGCTGCCTTCCACCAGAAACGAGTCTCCAGCTCATCTCCTCCCCACCTCCCTCGCCAGGAGCCTGGGGCATCCTGACCTCCATCTCTCCTGAGCAAGGGTGCAGGGAGAGGAAGATGCCACTTGCTCCATCTCGCCCACGAGGGAAGCGTCTCAGCCTTTTAAACTCTTACCTGCTCCTCTCCTGAGCACAACGAAGAGGACAACGATGAAAATGACGGTAGCAATGAAACCTCCCACCAGTCCTTTCGATCCCGTTTGTGCTGCAGAGGAAGAGGAGGATCAGTGACGTTAGGTTGGCTGGAGAGGCTGAACAGCCAGCGAGTTGTCACAGTTCAACGAGCTCCTCCAGCAACTGACCATGTGCATGCTCTTGCCAGGTACGCAGATGTGATGAGACACACGTGAGCTGAAGCCACACGGACCCAGGACCAGTTATACTGGCTGGGCTGATGTGCTGTAACTTCTTGAACAGTGCTATTGCTTGCTTTTTCCTGCTGGGTCAGGAGGACACACAGGGGCAATCTCCAGTCAGCAGGGAGAGCGAGAACCCCAACAGCTCCAATGGGGAGAGGACTTTTTGCAATGGTTCTCGAGCAGCATCGATCTCCAGCTGAACATCAAGTCCAGCTGGGTGTGTAACTCCTTGGGGCATGGCTGTTTTCTGGTGCCTGTCGAGCAGGGTCTAGCCCATGCGCTACAAACTTTTGCTCTGTTGCTCCACTTTCCATCACAAAATCTCTTTTCCTCTGAAGGAAATGAGATACTTGCTCCCCAAAAGCTTCAGGCAGTGAAATAAAAGCTGAGGAAGTGAAAGGGAAGAGGAGGATAGAGAGGATGAGTATGAGAGGACACTAGAAGAAAAGTGTGGAGAAACAGGCAGATGTGATGTGACTCAGAGGTTTTGCTCCCTGTGGTGGGTAGATGTGGTGGGAGGAGGTTGGGGCAGGACGAGGAACTCACCTCTCTGCCCTTGACACCTACCTGGTGCCTTAAGATGGGCGCTCACAGAGATGGGCTCTGCCAGGGCCACGTGTGAAACGTGGCAGCTGTAGGTGGCTGGCGCCCGCGCTGTGGCTGAGCTGATGCTGAGGAAGGAGGTGATGCTGTAGGTGCCGTCTTGGCTTTGCCGGTGGCTGGAGAAATGTGCATTTGAGAGAGGGGTTTCCGTGTCATCTTCTGGAGTCTTCTGTGTCCAGCTCACCGAGACGCCCAGGGGGTAATAGCCGGCAATGTTGCAGGTCAGAGTAGTCGTCACGTCTCTCTCGAGTGTCACCTCTGCTGGAATGACATGAACTCTTGGAGGCTCTGGAGGAGATAAACAGGGAATTGACTTATTGTTAGCAGAGTGCAAAAGTCCCTGGCCACCAGGGAGAGAAGAAGAGCCGCCTGTGACGATGATGAGTGTTGGGGGCGATGGGATCAGGGTGCAGGGCAAAGTTTCAGTGCCTGGGGACACGTGGCTCCTGTTGCCCCCGGGCATTTCCCTTCCTCACCGGCCACGTGCAGCTGGATGATGTGCTGGGCCTGGTGCAGCGAGGTGGACACCAAACAGATGTACATCCCTTCGTCTGCCACGCTCACTCCTTGCAGGCGAAGCGATGCATCTCCACTCCCTAGCAGCTTCCCCACGTCCACGTGGACTTTTGGCTGCGCTGCTGGGCCGGTGCTCCCCACCTGGTACCGGAAAAGGCTACGGCCGCTGCCTTGGTGCTGCCTTCTCCACTCCAGGGCAGAGAGCGAGGAGCTGGGAGCCAAGGCAAAGCGGCAGTCGAGGGTGACTGAGCTGCCAAGATGCACGTGCAAGGAAGTGTTGCGTGATGACGACTGAAATTCAACTAGAAACAGAAACACAGGCAAACAGAGAGTTAAACAGATGTAGTTAAAGAAGGGCTGGGAAGGGCTGGCAGTGAACTCCCCACCAGAGGAGGAAGAGGCATAGCTCCCCATTTGATGCCCCAGGGTCTATGTGGACTGAAGAGCTGAAGGAAGCCAGCCTGGTGGAGATAGCAGGGCAAGGAGACAGGTGGACACCAAGTGCACACCATGGTCTTGAAGGCGCTTGTCATCCTCAGGGGCTGGGGCATGGGAAACCCTGAGAGGAGGCAAAGTGGGGGGCAATCTGCACGACCCCTTTTTCCCTAAGCACTAACTGCTGGCAGCCCTCAGGTCCTGCTGAGAGGTGGGACATGGGACTCTTGGGGAGGCAGGCTCCCCCCTCCTCATATCCCTTGGTGCTGTGGGGGCACCTGGTCACCTGTGGTCAGCACCGTCCCCTCCTTGCTCATAGGAATCCTCAGCTTTGGGTGCAGGGTTGCATCGTGCTCCTCCTCCTCCTCCTCATCCCGGCTGCCGCAGTCAGGGCCCCTGAGCACCAGGGCGACGCTGATCCCGCTGGAGAGCTGCAGGGTGGCCATGAACCAGGAGGCACGGCAGGGCCCCTCGACAGCCCGCCGGGAGCTGTACGGCAAGATCTCGCAGGTCACCTCCTCTCCATCACAGTCTGCGTGCAGCAGGGACTCGGCGTGTGGGATGGATACCGACTGGGCTGCGGGGACAGGGGAAGAAGTTTAACCATCTGAATCCAAAAGGGGAAAGAAACCGCAAAATGACGAGACACGTTTTTTTGGAGAAGCATCATGTGCTGTGGAGGGCTGTCAGAGCCCAGAAATGCCAGGCTAGGCTTGACAGATGAAGGCCTGCAAAGAGTATGAGAGGTTGGTCGTGACTGTCTGACATCCCTCAGCCTGTCGGCTGTATTTTATCTCCCCAGATTGCGCAGAGCTCGATCCAGCTGCTTGGAACAGAGAACAACTGGAGCAGATCCCCCTTAGCTGCGTGCGTACGCCCAGCGCAAGCGTGTGCCCAGCAAGCCCAGTATGTGAAACGCCCAGTCAAGACGTGGGATGTTTACCCAGTTAGGGCCTGAATCCGGAAAGAAAGGGGACACTGAAGCACCCCAGGTAAGAAAAGAAAGGGTGGCAAGAAGGCAGGAGTGACTGGATGTACTGGGAGCACACTGTACATATGGTCACAGCGTGGGCTTAAGCGTCCTGGTGCCCTACACGCTTCCCACGGACGTCACTGCAAGTTAACTGGGTGCCCGCAATGCTGGATGGGAGCCTGGCTGCGGTGTGCTTGACCTCACCCATGCCCAGTCCATCCACACCACTTGGAAGAGACCTTGGACTGGGGGAGGAACAGAGGCTGGACTGCAGGTTGGCACCCATCAGGGAAGGACAGCTCTGCTTCGTGCCCACTTACCACCATGCCTCCTGCCCGCCAAAAACCACCCCACAACCGAAGATGTGAACGCTCTTACGGGTGCAATAATGCTGTAGAGGGGGATAATTCCCGAGTTGCTTTGGACAAAGTTTTTCCCAAGAGCCAGGCGATTTAGGATAGCCCCAGTAGGAGAGAGGTGCCCCGGCAGGGTTTGCTAACATCTTCCACTTCACTTTCTTGGAGTCCTGACTGCTGAATTCAGGAAATCACGCATGAAACTTCAGTGGCCGCTCAAAAATTAATTGTCTAACCTCAGTTAACGAAAAATCTCGTAGAAGCCCGGTACGTGTAAGTGGCCAAAACCCCCAGCAGCAGCTCTCCCACCCCAGCTCTCCCACTCACCTGAGGCTTGAAAGACAATAGGAGAAGAGGAGCCAGGATTTTCCCGTGGGACTCTGTACTCAGTGACATCATCCAAGTTCCCATCATCTCTGACGCTGACCCCCCTGAGCACGAGGGTGGCAGGATGCTCCGAGGCCGCGCTGCCGGCGGCACGCAGCAAACCTCTCACATCTTCCTCCAAGTAGGAGCAGCCCAGGGTGATGTCCACCCTGCGGAATGGTGGTGCTGGTGTGGGAGCTTTCGCTGACCCTTTAGAGAGGGAGAAGAACCGGTTGGACGCATGAATCCCGCTGCAAACAAGGAAGAGTGTGGGATGAGGGATGAGCAAGCGGGAGGCTGGGGGCTGGCGGCCACTTTGGGGCTGTTGGCAGAAGAGCCCTCTAGCCTGGCATCACCCTCCTCTGGCATTGACCTTCAGGAAGACCCTGGGTTTCACCGGGACACCTTCCCCGCAGGGGTGTTGGGGGGGGG